TTGTTAACGATCGACTCCTTTTCGACCGCTTAGAACTCTCGGAGGAACTGACGTTGCACTTCTAACAGGAGGCCAGTCCTGAATTTAGAAACCCGTGCACTGATAAAAATGTCCGATTAAATATAATTGGAATTACGTAATAACAAACGGATATATCCGAGGAAAAATCCGATCGGTTTTTCAATAAAATTTCGGCGGGAAAATTTTATCGGATGTATCCATAATTTAATCGAAAATATTAACCGTCGAAAATGCTATTTAATTGGTTTATCCGATGAAAATTTTTCTCAGTGTGAAGATATATTATATCTTTTTTCTTCATAGCGGTACTCTCGGAAAAAATTAATAATGATAAATTAACGCTCGTTAATGTAAAAACAAAGCTAAAAAAGTCAAAGGCTAAAATACGAGCAATAAAGGATGTTGTCGTTAAATGAGTTTTTTAATTTATTACTCATTGGCAGAAAAAAAAAGTATTGTATAGACGCTTCGACTGTGTCAAGTCTTCCTTAGCATAATAATGAAAACGGAGATTATGACAATTAAAAAGTAAGCTACATAACATATGAAAAAGGTTTACACGCAGAGTTAAAAAAAATGAGTAAGAAATATGACTTCGTAGATTAAAAGAAAGGACAAAGAGTAAGTGCGGCTGATAAGAGGCGGTGGCAAAGGTCAGGGGTGTTGCGAATACAAAATAGAGGATTTCGAAACGGTGAAAAGCCAGAGTGTAAAGTTCACGAAGGTATTGGCAATGTAATTATATTTTTTTACGGCGCCATTCCGCGGCAGAATACGTCCGTACTTCCATATTCCGTGAAAATGCTTTTCACCGTGCGCATAACACGGATACGAGGCGCGCGTACGCGCTTACGACGAAACGCTCAGTCGTGGGTCACGGGACACGGTCCTCCACTTGATCGGAAAGCGCGCAGGAAGGACTCGTTCGGCAGGATACGAGTACTATCGGCGATCGCGACGGCCTGCGAATCCCGCAGCATCTCGTTCGTAAATCTTTACGGCTTGTCTTCATGGTACGTCGGTTTTTACGATCGCACTTTTATGACGGCCCCGTAACCGATCACGTACCCAGCTTTACACTTCCGTCGCGGTTACGAGTCGTTCCGAGATATACTCGGCTAAGAAGGGCCCGTCGGTATTACTAATAATTAATAGTCCCCGCGTTTTCACGGGAAAGACTGACAGGTTTAAGGAGGATTAGCCGACGATTACCGCAATTGTAACTCACCACCTTAATTATAGTATCGCGTACTTCAGTGTGTATAATATTTTGTATCACTGAGAATTTCTCCATCGGATAAACCAATTAAATGGCAAATTAATAAAAATTGTATGGCTCAAGTGTGCAACAAACACAAATTTGAAGGAATAAAGGACTAAGAGCCGTGACAGGGTGTTAGTGTCTAAATATTTTATTCTTAAGTTATTGCGAAAAAATATCACCTCAGCCAGGGTTTGAACCTGGACCTCTCTCTCTCACCAATTAAATAGTTTTTCCGATGGTTAATTTTTCCGGTCTAAATTATGGATACATCCGATGAAGTTTATCCAATAGAAGGCAGTTACCGGTGAAAATTGATCGAAAAACCGATCATATTTTTCATGGGATATATCCGTTTGCTATTATATAATTGGATTATCCGATTATATTTGATCGGACATTTTTCTCAGTGTGGGAAAGATAATTGTATATTTACGCACTCCGAAAAGCACGACCGTAAATCCTCACTGATTGATGAGATACGAAGAAACAATGATCGCAACTTATTGCGCGAGATCGTTAATCGACAGTGTTCACGGTGGCTGCGAGAAACGCGTTCGTTGCAAGAAGCGAACGGTAGCCGGACTTTATGGTCGTCGATAAATTCACCGTCACCGATAAAGATAGATGAAGTCTGTTTGATCTTGTACCCTTGTCCGAGGAGTTAAAATTCGCTCGGTCTCTCGCATGGAATTTTACATACCGTCGATTTCTGTAACAATGGAATATTACCAAGCTGTCAGATATTTTTAGGGATTCTTTAGGTCTTCATTAACTTTTCGATTCCCTCGATGCCGGAATAGTTTTGGCGTAATTAATGATTAAGGATATAAATCTTTTGGCGAACTAAATATCGGATGAGGAAATGGACACGTGATGAAATAGATTTGCCAACTTATTAATCACATAATCTACAGCGATCAACTAACGCAATGCGTTTTTGCTGCGTCGATTAATCCGAGTAAATACTCGATTGTTATAACGATCTTGAAAACAATATTACACTTTTATTAACGAAATATCGTAAGATAATCGTAAGATTTTATTCGTCAGTTTTTACACAATCTTTACATTTTATCTTCACGAATTTGCGACAGAAATAGTCTTCCGGCTGTCCAATTCACGGTATAACAATTTCTAAAAAGCGTTTCCACGCAGTACAATCGTCGCACTACGAAATCCTCTTCGGCTCGCAGTGAGCTTTTAACGTTCGCTCACCCACCGCGATTACCGGCAATTAATTGAAAACGCGCGGCGGCGGCACAACCGTCTACAAAGAAACAATGGGGTTCCACCGAGGGTGGAGGAAATGGGGAGAACACAGAGGTAGATTACAACAGCGGTGAGAGAATGAGGGAGGAGGAAGGGGGGGGAGGGAGAGAGAGAGAGAGGAGGGGGATCACGCAGGAGGGAACGAGAGAGAGAGAGAGAGCGATAGGGAGGGCAGTGAATTAAGTTTCTCCGCCCCTGAGGCCGACACATTCGCCGACACTCGTCACGGCCACCCCCTGAGGGTATCGCGAATCTTTCAATAGAAATTCTGTCGCGAAGGGGACTCCGCGCCGCCTCGAGGCGCTCAGGGATTATAAATCCACGGTGACACGGTTTAGTATTCTCTCGCCGGCTCGGGAACGTCCCATTTGGAAAGCGATGTTCCGGGAGCCAGTTCGAATCGACGTTTCGCGGATTTTACAGTTTTTTCACTCGCCACTGCTCACGCTTTTTTTTTTATATATTCGTGCGTGGCCACGCGCTTTGCACCTTCTTGCGAACGCCACGCTGAGAAAAATTTTCATCGGATAAACCAATTAAATAGCATTTCCGATGGTTAATTTTTCCGATGAAATTTATCCGCTGAAATGCAGTTACCGATCAAAATTTGACTGGAGAACCGATCACATATTCCATCGGATACGCAATGTAATCGGATACATCCGTTTGTTATCATGTAATTGGATTATCCGATTACATTTGATCGAACATTTTTCTCAGTGCAATTTATCAGCCGCGAGTTTAAACTTCCTTTTACACACGCGAGGCTCTTGCGGTTCCGGCAATTCCATGATTTCTAGGATATTTAGTTGAATGTCGTGCTTCACATCGTGATACTCTGTACATTCGCGGTTACGCCGAGAGAATTTATCCCCGAGCGTAACGCGAATCCTATCAACAATAACGGCCCTCTAAATTTTGGACGCGGCGGATCGCACACTAGTCCGAGAGGGTCACGCGACGCGTCACGCGAGTGTCACGTCCAAAATGATACCCCGGGCGTGTCCATAAAATGTGCATTTATATTTCAATATCTGTCGTGCGCCGGTATTTTTTCTCTCTCCCTATCTCATTCGCCGGCGGTAAAACAGCGAACGATTTACGCAGGGGTGTCAAGAGCATTTCTGTTGTTTAACCACTTATTGCCTACTCGCTGACATTTTACGAGGTAGGGACAACGTTCCCGCGCCTCCATCGCCGGGACAATGGAGGCGCACCTGCTAAACCGTTGGTGCACCACGGCACAGCCGTACCTGCGTTATTGCAACCCTTGTTCTTTGTTCCCGCCGTTAGCGATGGCATTGATATTTTCGCGCGCGCGAAACACCCGAAGCGCACGTATCAATCTCCTGCCAGAACTGCCATTGTCTGACGACGATGGTGGCCCCTGGTACGGAACATATAAGTGGGAGAGATCGTTTCTGCAAGTTTCTTTCTTCCCGTTATATATTATCTGCCACGAAGTTGTTATATTCCTCGCTTAGCAACGCATACGCTTTCGGATATTTTAGCCGAAACCTCTCACACTTGATCGAGATTGCGAGTAGCGTTTAAACACAAAAAAAAGAAAAATGAAGAAGAGACGCGAAATCGAAGTGGGATAAAGTGGATAAAGTCTAGATTCCGTCGTAAAGGACTCGATGTTGATGAAATTGTGGGACCTCCACTATATTTTCAATTTAATTTTCACATCAAGTCCGACATCGAATGGCGTACTCACTTTAAACAGATCGCCGCTTGGTTTGCTATCGGGAACAATGTTGATAGTCCCCCGGCATCGATTCGTTTTCAACAAGCGTCTCTAGATTTCGAGCCAATGCGAATTGATATTGGGTGGAAGATAGTCTCCAGTGCGCTGCTACGCCCGATCGCTTATCGTCGCAATCGACTTCGACGTCGCTGATTACGTGAACTGCCCGTGGTTTATTGCACACTCGATGCGCTATCACTGCGTTGTTTCTCTTGCCGCTCTCTACTTCTCCGTTTCGCTCCTGTTCGCTGGTACCGTATCCAATGGACGAAACAATCTCAAAATAGGACCGTGATTGCGCTCGGAGGGACATCTTGACTAGAGCTAGAAAACTGATAGCCAGGGCGTAATCGCGTTCGCCAACACTTGTTTGTACTCCCGCGTGTTCTTGCCTGCGGCCAAATGAAAGGGCGACTGAGGAGATATTCACGATTGTTGGCGAAAAATGGGGAACATGTGCGCGGAAAGGTACTGCGATCGGAAAATAAACTGCTGAAGAAGTATTCACGACGCGGTCCGCGGAAGAAGCGGGGAAACATACGCGTGCATATTAATTGGAAGTGAACTTGACGATTCGGGATCGGAATACAAATTGCGTCGCCTTTTTTTTTTCTTTCCCTCTCGCAACAAATAGAACGTTCCCGCGTCAAATCGTTAAAGTTTTCTTAAACTAATCCAACGTTCATTCGCTTGCAGACAATCCTCCTCGGTGATAGCGGAGTTGGCAAGACTTCGTTATTGGTCCAGTTCGATACCGGAAGATTCCAGCCGGGAAACTTCGCGGCCACCGTGGGTATCGGTTTTACGGTAAGTAATACTGCACCGAGATATTTAATTAAAGCTTTCCAGCTCGATGAAACCGTGGAATGCGATGAAGGCCTTTCACTATTATTTTGCGAAGTTAAATTCAGAGCACCTTCCGTCTGCATTTAATTTTCATCGCCACTTTTTTTTTTGCTCGCCCTTGCATTAGTGACCTACCATTTTTATCGGCTTGTAATTATTTTCAAGATTAATATTTAATTCATGCCGCATAATAAAGTTACAATTATTTTTAATAATATGCTTTTTTTCTCTCTCTCTAAAAACCAATGTACACGAGCTGGAAGGTGTTCTACATTTATACGTTCACTGTTCGGTAGACCGTTAGTTGCGATACCAATACATGTCGAGCAGAATTACAATGTCGCCATACGATGACGTATCTACGTCTGACAATGTGAGCAACGCGTTTATGCACGAGTCCAGCGGCCATGAGATGCGTTTGCGTGCGTTCTATGAAAGCTTTGTCTCGGCGCGTATTATGTATTAACTGCGACTTTGGAACTCTCCGATCACACAACGAGGTAGTGGCCAAATAGAAGGTTTGCAGGCAGAAGGAAACCCTTAACATATTTGGTTTCCAAATGCAATTAATAATTATTTACCTATAACGATTTTTTTTTCATAAGTCGTGAGAAAACTATTATCTACAATAAATCCTTGTCGTTTTAAGCGACTGCATCCTTTATAATCTTGTCATCTCGGGCTAGATTCTTGAATTTATTCGCAAGAGAAACGTATGCGCAAATTCCGCTCTTACAGAAAAGCTTATCAGTCGATTGACTAAAGAGCACGTGATAACTAATCAACTTCTCTGTAAGAGCGGAATTTGCGCGTACGTTTCTCTCGCGAATGAATTCTAGCCCCTGGATCGAATGACAAATGGGAATTTTGTCCAACATCCGGCATACCTAGACATTCGCCAGGCTAATCGTAAGTTATATGCATTCGTTATATAACTAGCAGTGTAGGTTTGACTTGAAGTTGTTAACTTAATGTAAACTTGGAGCGAGCCGACAGGAAGCAAAAGTAAACGTGAACCACTTGCCTGTTCGCGTCGCAGCAAGTAACGTTGCGACTTTTATGCCCCAAATACCGACGATACATCATTCGACATACTCGCCACACGATCGGCTTAGTAATCCTCGCGAGGGCGATGGGAGGAGAGACATCGCCGACGCTGTTCTATGCATACTGCAGACATCGTGCGGATTCTGCACGCGCGTGTCTACACCGTCTAAAACGTTGGCGTCGTTTGCCGTCGCGGCGTCAAATGAATATTTATGGCATCTCCTTTAGTCTCCCTGTCAGAGAGAAATTCGATTTATGGCTACACCACCGATTTGAAGGAGAGAGACAGAGGAAGAAACATCGCGGGACTCGGGGGGGATTGTCAGAGGGCCATTTGCATTTGATATTTTCGCAGTCGGGCCGACGATTATCGGGCGCACCAGCCACGAAAAAGAGTCGTTCGAGCGAACAGGGGGCCCCTCCCTTTTGTCCAGCACTCGATTCGCCGATCGCCCTCACGGCACGAGCTTTCACGAGTCGCCGAAAAGATGAAGAGAGATGAACGAGAGACAAAAGGGAGGAAGAGAGTAGGACGGACACAGGTCGGTGGGATTTACAGAGGCGTTTGTATTGAGGTTTTCAGGTGGTTGGCTACCCGCCTTTGATGGAAACGCCAGCAGAGAGAAAGTCTTTGTGATAAACTATGCAATTACGGGGGAGGAACGTCGGTAGCGGCCGACTTGCGAATCGTCCGGGGAGTAGCTTCAACGCGACCTTGGCATTTATCAAGCGCATAGTACGTGTCTGTCGGTCTGCGGTCGGTCGTAATTCTTCATCGTCGACTCGATTATCCGAGGAACTCCTCGCCACACGCATCTTGTTGGCAAGGAGACATTTTGCGCGCGCGCTGACGTATCTCGATAATAAAGAAAAAAGGTTAACTAACGGAGGGTTTTCTCAGTCGCGTAGAGACATAGAGAGTCACGGAATTAACAGTCTATGTCGGTTTATGTTCTCCACGCGCGGAGGGCCTCGTTTCCGTTGCAGAACGCTTCATTTCCGCGACGGAATATCGCCGAGCAGAAGAATATGGATGTTGACCCGCTGATTATAGGGCACCGGGGCCGCTGCACTTTCCAGTTACGAGAACACGTCTCGCGCCTCCTCTCTCGCGCTCGCCAACAGTTCGAGAAAGTTGAAATTGCTCTATCAAAACGACCGTCCCGCTGCGGATTTCTCCGTTAACGTGAGAGAGTCTACCTTAGACGCTCTCCCGCGCATGAAAGTTTCATTTCATTACGAGCCGAGGAACGTCGCATCCGCGGACAGGCGTGCGCGCTATCCAGAGAAATCGCTCCAACGGTTTTCCCTCTCGAGGAGCGGTAATTAATATTTGATTTTTTTTAAAAATCCGCGTGCCCGTGCGACTGGAATTGATCGCGCTTTACGCTGGTCGATTTTCTCAATATCGTGTTCGAGCGTTCGGAATTTTCGGATGAACTACAATAACGATTATCGCTTACGATTATGTCCGTAATACATAAGGCCCGGTCTACAATGAGTCGTTAGTCGTTAGTCAGAAGTCGCAACTATATGTTGATCCTTTTCCTTTCTGGGTGGAAGAAAAAGGACCGACATATAGTTCCGACTTCTGACTAACGACTAACGACTCATTGTAGACCGGGCGTAAGTGAAACAGGACCGACATAAATTTCACAATCAATTAGAGAAGGAGCTCTCCCCTCTCCCCCCCCCCCTCTCTCTAACGGTTTTTAATAAATAATTTTACTCGGCCACATTTTAAGCTCATTAAAATTTACAAATGAGCATTTGCGCAGGGATAATAATTATGTGAGTAGCTCTTTTAATTTAATATCTTATATGTGGTTACAACAGCTCCGCCGTATATGATAATAATCTCTTTATGCAAGTGAGCGAGCGAGATAGAGGTAGAGAGGGGGAGGGGGAGGGGAAAGCGGGAGACGAGTTAAGTGTGTCCTGTAATCAGTATACGGGAGTTCTCTTTCTATAAATTTAATCCATACCGAGGAAGAGTCGACGGTCAGAGCTAATTAATTACTGGGAATTCAGGCTCACGTTAAAGACCGTTATAGTTAATCAGTGTTCGCTCAACGAGGAAGAGTCCGTACTAATTAAACGCTTACGCGTACCGTACGTCCATCTTGTTAATTGATCCCGGTTCGCTCAATTAAGTGCATCTCGCGAGGTCCCAACATTATCTTAATATGCGTCGTGTATAATGCTAGTGTTATTACTTAAATACGCGCGAATACGAAATCCATGCCCGTTAATTAGCTTTACCCCGGCGCGGCGGTATCGAAATAATAAAATTGCCAGTTGTTACGTATCAGTCAACGCGCGCGCGCGCGAAAATAATTAGCATTGCGCCCGAATTACGTTAATCCGCGCGATTCTCATTACGTAATTACTGTCCGCATTTGACGGTTCTCCGCGTTCCGCGATTGATGCGGCTCTCATTCAGTATCGATAGCGGTTTCGATATTACGTAACTCGCAATATTATTTAGCTTGAAAGGAAAATCACTGCGTTTCCTCTCGAATTAAAATTTCGATTAAAATTGGCCATTATAATATTCAGTTTTAATTCTTGTCCCTCGGGAATAAATAACACGAAATGCATTATAAATGTAGAGGAGGAAAGTCGAATGGAAGAGTCACAGCGCGTCTGTGGGTCTTTGCAGTGACGGAAAGTAAAATAGACCGTGATCACATTGAAGCTTGCCGGGGTATAAAGCAGAGAGTGTGCGAAAACGTCGGTGCGATCTTTGACAAGACGCGAAAGAGGAGAAGACAAAGCGCGCGCTGGCATCCGCCCTGCATCGAGACACTTAGGTAAAATGCTAAGAGAATCGAGGGATTGCGGGCAGAGGGTGGAATAAAGGAAACCGTACGCGCGATGTTAGATGTGGAAAAAAAGCGGTGGCCTCCTTTCAGTTGCAAAAAATTGTGCGAGATACCGCGAAGATATCTAAAACGAGATCGCAGGAAGGCTCGAATAATAATTTCGCCGTTCGTGTCGTTGCAAATACATCGCGCGGCGAGTTAAATCTCTAAATCCATGTATGTATTGTTTTTACAAAAATTAGAAGTATAGTATAAAGCAAGTGCGAATCGGTAATGTCGATTGTGTGTGGAAGTTTGCACGCATATTTTTTTCTGATATCGATTCTGCGGCATAATGTTAAGTCGCGCCGGTCATCAGCGTTTTCTCGCGAAATGAGGAGTGACAAGCGGGAGTAAAGGTAATGATTACGATTTTAAGAAGCGGGCAAGATGGAAGTAAGTGCTCTCTCTTTCTCTCTCTCTCTCATACACACACGCGCGCGCGCGCGCGCGCACACACACTCGCTCTCACTCATTGTGTGTAACCGGAATATCGAGGGTTAAAGGGGCGAGGAGAAGGTGAGCAATAAATCACTCGGGCCGACAGTGCCAAGTTAGGCTACGCCACGTGACGAGGCAGATTCGATCCTTCTGCTCCTTTTTCCTGCTCCAAGTTCCTCTCCTCGCGCCGCGAGGGGAAGTCCCGAGGCGAAACCGTGCCGATTTCCACGATATTTATCAAATTGCCTGCGTACACTTAGGGATATCAATTTCGCTACAGATACTCGTTAAAGTTTCCTCATTTTTCATCGAACGCTTAAAAGTAAGTGGCGCTGTAAGTAAAAGGGTAATTTTGCACCTACTATTTTAATACGCTATATATAGAGTCTATACATATATTGATATCTATTGAAAAGTCCGGTTATCGAAAAGCCTGTTTAGCGAACGTTCTTTATGACATCTAGTTTATATGGGGGACCCTCATACAAGTACTATGTAATCGAAAGTAACTGTAACGCGCGTTATCTCATCTCCCTTCTTTTTTTGGTGTTTCCTTTAATTCTCCAGTAATGAAGTTCAGACTAAGCCGAGAGTGCCCGAGTACCCGGA